GTAGATCAGAAAGGAACAGAGACAATATACAATAACAGTCACCTTACAGGCAATACAATGGCACTAAATTCATATCTCTCAATACTTACCCTGAATGTGAATGGGCTAAATGCCCCAATCAAAAGACACAGGGTATCAGAATGGATAAAAAAACAAAACCCATCTATATGTTGCCTACAAGAAACTCATCTTAAACCCGAAGACACCTCCAGATTTAAAGTGAGGGGGTGGAAAAAAATTTACCATGCTAATGGACATCAGAAAAAAGCAGGAGTGGCAATCCTTATATCAGATCAATTAGATTTTAAGCCAAAGACTATAATAAGAGATGAGGAAGGACACTATATCATACTCAAAGGAACTGTCCAACAAGAAGATCTAACAATTTTAAATATCTATGCCCCTAACATGGGAGCAGCCAACTATATAAACCAATTAATAACAAAATCAAAGAAACACATCGACAATAATACAATAATCGTAGGGGACTTTAACACTCCCCTCACTGAAATGGACAGATCATCCAAGCAAAAGATCAACAAGGAAATCAAGGCCTTAAATGACACACTGGACCAGATGGACATCACAGATATATTCAGAACATTTCATCCCAAAGCAACAGAATACACATTCTTCTCTAGTGCACATGGAACATTCTCCAGAATAGATCATATTCTCGGTCCTAAATCAGGTCTCAACCGTTATCAAAAGATTGGGATCATTCCGTGCATATTTTCAGACCACAATGCTCTGAAGCTAGAACTCAATCACAAGAGGAAATTTGGAAAGAACCCAAATACATGGAGACTAAACAGCATCCTTCTAAAGAATGAATGGGTCAACCAGGAAATTAAAGAAGAGTTGAAAAAATTCATGGAAACAAATGATAATGAAAACACAACGGTTCAAAATCTGTGGGACACAACAAAGGCAGTCCTGAGAGGAAAATATATAGCGGTACAAGCCTTTCTCAAGAAACAAGAAAGGTCTCAGGTACACAACCTAACCCTACACCTAAAGGAGCTGGAGAAAGAACAAGAAAGAAACCCTAAACCCAGCAGGAGAAGAGAAATCATAAAGATCAGAGCAGAAATCAATGAAATAGAAACCAAAAAAACAATAGAACAAATCAATGAAACTAGGAGCTGGTTCTTTGAAAGAATTAATAAGATCGATAAACCCCTGGCCAGACTTATCAAAAAGAAAAGAGAAAGGACCCAAATAAATAAAATCATGAATGAAAGAGGAGAGATCAAAACTAACACCAAAGAAATACAGACAATTATAAGAACATACTATGAGCAACTCTACGCCAACAAATTTGACAATCTGGAAGAAATGGATGCATTCCTAGAGACATATAAACTACCACAACTGAACCAGGAAGAAATAGAAAGCCTGAACAGACCCATAACCAGTAAGGAGATTGAAACAGTCATCAAAAATCTCCAAACAAACAAAAACCCAGGGCCAGACGGCTTCCCGGGGGAATTCTACCAAACATTTAAAGAAGAACTAATTCCTATTCTCCTGAAACTGTTCCAAAAAATAGAAATGGAAGGAAAACTTCCAAACTCATTTTATGAGGCCAGCATCACCTTGATCCCAAAACCAGACAAGGATCCCATCAAAAAAGAGAACTACAGACCAATATCCTTGATGAACACAGATGCAAAAATTCTCGCCAAAATACTAGCCAATAGGATTCAACAGTACATTAAAAGGATTATTTATTCACCACGACCAAGTGGGATTTATTCCAGGGCTGCAAGGTTGGTTCAACATCCGCAAATCAATCAATGTGATACAACACATTAATAAAAGAAAGAACAAGAACCATATGATACTCTCCATAGATGCTGAAAAAGCATTTGACAAAGTACAGCATCCCTTCCTGATCAAAACTCTTCAAAGTGTAGGGATAGAGGGCACATACCTCAATATTATCAAAGCCATCTATGAAAAACCCACCGCAAATATCATTCTCAATGGAGAAAAACTGAAAGCTTTTCCGCTAAGGTCGGGAACACGGCAGGGATGTCCGTTATCACCACTGCTATTCAACATAGTACTAGAAGTCCTAGCTTCAGCAATCAGACAACAAAAGGAAATTAAAGGCATCCAAATCAGCAAAGAAGAAGTCAAACTATCACTCTTCGCAGATGATATGATACTATATGTGGAAAACCCAAAAGACTCCACTCCAAAACTGCTAGAACTTGTACAGGAATTCAGTAAAGTGTCAGGATATAAAATCAATGCACAGAAATCAGTTGCATTTCTCTACACCAACAACAAGACAGAAGAAAGAGAAATTAAGGAGTCCATCCCATTTACAATTGCACCCAAAACTATAAGATACCTAGGAATAAATCTAACCAAAGAGATTAAGAATCTATACACAGAAAACTATAAAGTACTCATGAAAGAAATTGAGGAAGACACAAAGAAATGGAAAAATGTTCCATGCTCCTGGATTCGAAGAATAAATATTGTGAAAATGTCTATGCTACCTAAAGCAATCTACACATTTAATGCAATTCCTATCAAAGTACCATCCATTTTTTTCAAAGAAATGGAACAAATAATCCTAAAATTTATATGGAACCAGAAAAGACCTCGAATAGCCAAAGCAATATTGAAAAAGAAAGCCAAAGTTGGTGGCATCACAATTCCAGACTTCAAGCTCTATTACAAAGCTGTCATCATCAAGACAGCATGGTACTGGCACAAAAACAGACACATAGATCAATGGAACAGAATAGAGAGCCCAGAAATAGACCCTCAACTCTATGGTCAACTAATCTTCGACAAAGCAGGAAAGAATATCCAATGGAAAAAAGACAGCCTCTTCAACAAATGGTGTTGGGAAAATTGGACAGCCACATGCAGAAAAATGAAATTGGATCATTTCCTTACACCACACACGAAAATAGACTCAAAATGGATGAAGGATCTCAATGTGAGAAAGGAATCCATCAAAATCCTTGAGGAGAACACAGGCAGCAACCTCTTCGACCTCAGCCGCAGCAACATCTTCCTAGGAACATCGCCAAAGGCAAGGGAAGCAAGGGAAAAAATGAACTATTGGGATTTTATCAAGATCAAAAGCTTTTGCACAGCAAAGGAAACAGTCAACAAAACCAAAAGACAACTGACAGAATGGGAGAAGATATTTGCAAATGACATATCAGATAAAGGGCTAGTGTCCAAAATTTATAAAGAACTTAGCAAACTCAACACCCAAAGAACAAATAATCCAATCAAGAAATGGGCAGAGGACATGAACAGACATTTCTGCAAAGAAGACATCCAGATGGCCAACAGACACATGAAAAAGTGCTCCATATCACTCGGCATCAGGGAAATACAAATCAAAACAACAATGAGATACCACCTCACACCAGTCAGAATGGCTAAAATTAACAAGTCAGGAAATGACAGATGCTGGCGAGGATGCGGAGAAAGGGGAACCCTCCTACACTGTTGGTGGGAATGCAAGCTGGTGCAACCACTCTGGAAAACAGCATGGAGGTTCCTCAAGATGTTGAAAATAGAACTACCCTATGACCCAGCAATTGCACTGCTGGGTATTTACCCTAAAGATACAAACGTAGTGATCCGAAGGGGCACGTGCACCCGAATGTTTATAGCAGCAATGTCTACAATAGCCAAACTATGGAAAGAACCTAGATGTCCATCAACAGACGAATGGATAAAGAAGATGTGGTATATATACACAATGGAATACTATGCAGCCATCAAAAGAAATGAAATCTTGCCTTTTGCAACGACGTGGATGGAACTAGACGGTATCATGCTTAGCGAAATAAGTCAATCGGAGAAAGACAACTATCATATGATCTCCCTGATATGAGGGAGAGGAGATGCAACATGGGGGGTTAAGGGTGTAGGAGAAGAATAAATGAAACAAGATGGGATTGGGAGGGAGACAAACCATAAGTGACTCAATCTCACAAAACAAACTGAGGGTTAATGGGGGGAGGGGGTTGGGGGGGTGGGATTATGGACATTGGGGAGGGTATGTGCTATGGTGAGTGCTGTGAAGTGTGTAAACCTGGCGATTCACAGACCTGTACCCCTGGGGATAAAAAGATATTATATGTTTTTAAAAAAATAAAACTTAAATAAAAAAAAAAAAAAGCATTAACTGTCAATTGAGCAGGTAACCTTAACTTGTTCCATCTGTCAGAAACAGAATTTGGAATAAAAATATAAAGTGGAACAAAAACAAGAGCCAATTATTTTATATAAAAAAAAAAATAGCCGAATGTTAACAACAGAATTATTCCTACTGATTTCTCTTCCTCATTTTCCAAAAACCAAGGTACCAGAAAAACCTGTGCTTCTGGCCTGAGACATCATGTGATTCTCCAAGTTCTCCAGCTTCTCAGTCACAGAATTCTTACTAACCCCAGCGAGCGTGGCTTCATTTTTGTGTAATACTGGACCTCCAGAGAATTCCTAATAAATTATCTTTAGAAGAACGATAGATCAATTAAGAAGTCTGCAGGGAAAAATCTTTACCCAAAGAGTGCCCTAGATCCCAAACCTGAAATATTAAAGGACCAAAACTATATAAAAAATACCAGTAGGTTTCCCTTTTGCTCCCACCTAAAGAACTAAATCAGAATAGCTATTGCTAATCAAATCGGAATACATTGATAAGATGGAAAACAGAAAGTCTCTGTATATGAAGAAGTTGCTCTTATTTGCTGCATTTCTCCTTTCTGATTTACTTGATTACATTTTCTCAACAAAGCTACAAATCTATATGCCTTTGAAAAAGAATGGAAACTCAGAAAAAGTCTGCATTCCATACGTCATTATTGTCCTTTTTATAATATTGTTTCACCCAAACCACATTAGGTGAAATCCCTTTCAGTTTCGTAAAGGATATGGTAAGGCTTCTAAGGAAGTCTGTTTTAATGTCACTGGAAAAAGGACAAGCCAACCGCACACACCAAGTGACCACATACCGACTGCTGTCATGTAATCCCAGCGCTCGGTGAGGCACATGTTGAAGATGAGGTGATCAGATGTTTGCCCTTGGCCAATAAGTGAAATTTGCCTCTCCAAATTCTGGCAAACAGATGAAGTCCAGCCAACAAGAAACCAGAATACTACCAGGAGCATTACTGCCAGCATCCTCATGACCCGTCCACCAGTCATATATGGAATCCGCTGGGCTGTTCTCGAAAGAAACACCTTCAAAACCCTGGAAAAGCAAAATATCAACATGTGAAGCAAACTTAACCCTCAGAAAAACTCCATAATACTTTATTTCACCTGGGTGAGATTTAAACCCACCAAAACCTACTTAATGCAGAGTTTTAACATGAGAAAAACCCACAAACAGTATTGCTTATATTGTCACTTCATTTCATTCCAGTTTTTATCTTCCAATAGCAAAACAAGTATCCTACATTAGATGCCAGGGAGTCAACAGATTTGTATAGGATGGAATTCTTTTGAGTGTGTCTTAATATTTTAAGGAACATGCTCAAGATCTTAAGATCCACAGACAAGATCTATAGACAAGCTGGTTCGAACAGGGTTTCTGAGGAATCAAAAACAGTCCTGAAAATGAGTAGTTGGATTTCACAATATCATACTAAGTCAAAAACTTCCTTGAACCAGTTACTTTTTTACAGTAGGATGATATGAAAGGTATTTTCTGAAAATTATTTTGAATAACCTCCCTTTGTAATTAATTTAACACATTACCAAAAATCATAATGAAATAAATATGAAAACTATGGAAGAGGTATTTAAACACTGGAGTAACTGAATTAAGATCACCATACTAAGGAAGAGGTTTGGGATGACCTATAAGAAATCAATTAAAATAAATTTTTTTCTGTGTATGTAATTCAAATGAATAGGCAGGGTTGAGAACTACTGGATTAAGTGATTATCTAAGAACTGTGCCATCTTTCTTACTGTGTGGAGACAAAATCCAACCTTACTACAAAGGTCCTTCCTTTTGCCCTTTTCTATAATTTTATCTCCAGAGTATTCTTAGCTGATTTAACTCCCCACTCTCATTCTGATTATTTTATGTCACAAAATTGAGTGGTTCCTGATACTATCCATAATCAATTTCCAAAAGGCAAAATTAAATTTATTTTCCCAAACTTTCTATTCCCTCATCCATCTCATTCTTTCAAAAAATTTGTATGAAGTACTCCTATGAATTCCTCATAAAAATGATTACAAATCCAGAAATGAAACCTACACACTTGAAATAGCCTAGATGTATTATACGATTTTTTCTCTTTCTATAGATCTTTGGTAACCCTTCCCGAATCAACACAACACATCAAGCAAAGAAAGTTTTTTTTTTTTTTTTTTTTTTAGCAGATTTTTATTTATTCTTCTTTCCCCTATACTTTTAACTCCATGGTCCATTAGCTAACACAGAGGATGAAGATATTTAATTCTAAATAAAATACTTACCCTTAACTTTCCTGTGGAACAATGTCAGAAAGATATTAGTATAAAATAAGAGTATAGTAGATCTCTTTACTCTCCATTTAAGTAGTTCACCAGATTAACGGTTATTCTCCATTCTACGTAAAACATATTGAGTTCTGTCCATGTTATGTTAAATGTTGGCACTGGCAGTTAACTTGCTATCTCTGTCTAGTATGCCTCTAACACTTCTGCTCTAACCAGCTGAACTGCTACTTGTTAAGAATCAGTTGTCTTTGTCCCCAAATTGTGCCTACTGTTATCACCTTGTATAATTTAACTAAATTATAAATAAAATAATTACATATGACTGTGAAACAAAATGAGACTTATTTGTATAAAATCTATCTTGAATGCTTTGGAAAGACTGCATATAGGTGAATCATTAAATAAGCTGTTAACTTAGGGGAAAGTGAGGAAACTTTAATATAGTGGGGTGGTCAATAAACAAAAATCTAGAAAGAATCTATACCCAGATTACTTAAAAAATCTTTAGATTTACACTCTTATTTAAAGATTAACATTGTGAACAGTAGATAATGCATTACAGTGATTTATGTTAGAAAGAGAACAATGCACTCCAAATACCAGACCCATAATCAAAGAAGGAGTTTCTTCTCAAAAATATTGGTAAATGAGAAGCACCTGGGCATCTCAGTCGCTTAAGCATTGATTCCTAATTTTGACTCGTGTCATCTCAGGGTCCTGGGATCGAGCCCCATGTGGGTTTCCCTGATCATCACAAAGTCTGCTTGAGGATTTCTCTCCTTCTCCTTCTGCTCCTACCCCCACTCATGTGCACGTGCTTGCTCTCTCTCTCCCTCTCTCTAAAATAATAAAAAAACTTTAAAAAATATTGCTAAATAATTATTTGTGCATTTTAAATTATAGTCTCTTACACACTTCTTTAATGCTTTTCTGCTTTAAACAAGTGTATCGGGACGCCTGGGTGGCTCAGTTGGTTAAGCAGCTGCCTTCGGCTCAGGTCATGATCCCAGCATCCTGGGATCGAGTCCCACATCGGGCTCCTTGCTCGTCAGGGAACCTGCTTCTCCCTCTGCCTCTGCCTGCCATTCTGTCTGCCTGTGCTCGCTCTCTCTCCCTCTCTCTCTCTGACAAATAAATAAATAAAATCTTAAAAAAAAAAAAAACAAGTGTATCAATTTATTGGCCAATGACTAATCTTAGAAGAAGCCTTCTATTGTAATTAGCAAATCAAAAATTTCAGAGAACCCTTAGAAATAAGAGAAACTTTAAAACAAATTAATGTTTTTGCTTGTGCCAATCTTATTGTCTGTAGGAGAAACTTGCAGCCGCTATGTACACATCATTGTTTCTGGTTATACCTGGATGAATTCTAAATTTTGAATGACTAGGAACTCAAAAGAGGAAACGTGGCCCATTTTTATGGCTTTCTATATTTTGGCTGCGCAGAAAAAAGAGAATTCTTCTAATTCTAGATATAATTTGAATAACTTAAATGTAAGCATAACAAATCAATATTTATATAGTGACAACCCTATGCTGGGTACCATGTTAGGCAACATGGGGGAATAAGATATAGTTCCAGAAGCTTACAGTTTAACTAGAAATAAGTATGCAAATAACTGCCATATAAAACAGCACATATTCTATGTTGTTTGTACTTAATAAGTATAGTAAGCTAATAGAATCGGTGGTATTTGATCTGGACTTTGATGGATACCAACAGAAATAGGGGAAAGTGAAGAAGATATAAGGAGATATTCTAGCTGAAGGAAATCACATAACAAAGTACAGAGCAGGAAATATTAGTCGCATTTTGCAAAGGAAATCTGTACGATCCCAGGTTGGTAATCTTTCAGTCAATAAATCCCAATTCTAAATTATTAGAAATTTTCATGTTTTCCAGATGACCCTCTGGATATTTATTATATATTCTAGAATTCAAGATTGTCACAGGTCCCATTATCTCATTTCCAGGCAGGAAAAAAACAAAGCAAAATCCCTCATGAGTCTCCCGTTATTGATTTTAACTGGTTTTTGAATCCTGGGAAATACACTAACACAAGTCTGCACCTCAATGTAAGCATTTTAGGATATTAGTTTTGGTATTATGGAATAAGATGCATTTTTCTAGCGTTGCCTTAAAATAAAATGAAAATTCTGCCATACCTTTAAAAAGAAGCTCTTGTTAGTTTATATGGGTTCATTCCTGAAAAACCAACTTCGAAAAAGGAAATCTTTAGATGTGCATTTGTATGAAATACAGCCGTAGGAAAAAAAATACAATCATTGAATTTCTTAGATTACTTTTTCTACTATTTTTTTTCATAGATAATTCTTCAGGCTACCCATCTGTTCAGAAGGTCTCACTATTTCTGAAGGAAAGCAGTAACATATACAAGAAGACTGCAAGAAATTTCCAGAATTTAATATGAAAAGGCATATTTAAAGACTATACTAAGTTTTCATTATTAGTAGTAGATAAATTCATAGAAATTGTGTTGAAACAATGAAAAGGACAACCCATGAATTGGCTGTCACTATATTACGTGCCTCTACTTTTTCACTTCCCATACATTTCTGGCTTAAACGCATGAAACTCCCCTGTCAGGACTTGTACTTAGGTTATCAATTACTGTCTTCAAGTACATAATTGATATTGTTGCTCCTTATGTTAATTGATCTCTCTCCACCTTTCAGCATGGCTAAAGCACCTGGCTTCCATTCTGTCATGTCCTCTTGATTTTCTTCCTCTTCCTCTGTCAGCAACTTTGTAGTCTCTAATGCACATTCTTCTTCCCCAGGTGTCCCCTTAAGTGGTAGCATTTCTCACGGATATCCAAAATGTAGCCATCTAGATCTATTTCTTGCTCTACATATTGTACCCAGGGAATTCCATCTACTCCCCTGTTTCAGTTATCTATGGACTGGAAAGTTCCAGATCTGGGTCTTAGTTTAGATCTCTCTCCTGAGCTCAAAATCTCTCTACTCAGTGACCTACTAGACATCAATAGGTCCCCAAATTAAATTATCCCTCTCCCTACTCCTTGCTCCTCTAGCCTTCTTTTCTCCTATGTTACCTGTCTCAGTGACTATTACCATTTAATTGATCAAAGGAGAAACCTAGGAATATACTTTAATTTTTCTCCCTCACCTACATTCCAGACATGTAATGAGTGTTTAGAAATTTAATTTCTACCTCTTAAATATCTTTCAAATCTTTCTTTTTCTTTATCTTCACTGTCCCTATATAGTTCTTGGTCATCAACCTACTCCTACAGTAGCTTCATAATTAGTCTACTTACTGGTCTTGTCCACCTTCAATCCACACCTTACACTGAAGCCACAGTGATCACTTCTGATCATGTTGCTCCCTGATTATAGTCCTTCAGTGGCTCTCCACCCAAATCCTGGCTCCTTCATATGGTAAAAGGCCTTTAAACGTCTTTGAATATTGGTTCTCTCTTGCCTTTGCAGCCTCATCTCTCATCACTCTCCTTTTCCTACAAACCTGCAGGTCCCTGTGAACTATCTGCTGGTGTCCTCTGTCTGAACCTTGCCCTCAGCTCTCCTCACTGCTCCTCCCTTCCATAATACCAACACCTAATTTACCTAATTCCTATCTATTCTTTCATGGCTCAGTTTAGATGTTGCTTGCTCTAGGTCAGTGGTTCCTAAACCATTATCATCAACATCATCTGTAAACTTATTAGGAATGCAAATGCAACATCTACCTGCTCTCAGGCTTATTATAATGTA